GGCGGCGTGAGGGGCGGTGCTGCCCGCTCGGCTCCTCAGGCCGGTGCCGGCGTCAGCGCGGGCGCGGGACGCCGAGGCGAGAAGGCAGGGGCGGCGCGGCCTCCTCCGGCTGCAGCGGAGCTCAGCCCCGGGCCATATCGGCCGTCTCTGGCGGAAGCCCGCTCCGGGGGAGGGGAACGCCGGCTCGTCCTCCCCACAGGGGAGCCACCCCGCGGGCGGGCTCGGCTTCCCCTCGCGGCTCCTGAGCGAGTGAGGGGCGGCGGCCGGCGAAAGCGGAGGCGCTCCGGCGCGTGAGGCGGCGGCGGTGGCCGCTCCGGCTCCTCGGCGGTGCGCCCGGTCCGCAGACGCCGCAGAAACTGAGACTCAAACTGCTGAAGCGGCGGCTGCAGCTCCCTCCCCTCGGCCAAGATGGGGCTGAAATGGCCGCGCCAGGGATGCTGGGAGGAGCAGCAGCCCCGCCGCTGCCGCCGCTGCCGACTAAAATGCCGCCGCTGCCGCAGCCGCCGCCAGCGCCGCAGCCGCCGCCGTTCCGTGACGCACCGGCGTCGTGACGTCACCGCCCCGCCCCTCCGGTTTCCTGCGGAGTTTCGCGTGGAGGCTGGAGGGGGGAGGCGGTGGGCGGGGATCAAGGGTGAAAAGGGGGAGAGGTTTTTTTAATTTAAAAATTTTTGAATTTAAATTTTGCTCTGTAGGTCTTTAAGAGTTGAAGAGCTAAAGACGCAGATTCCCACCCTAGAGCAGCTTACAACCGCGCCAATCGAATGTTTTTATACGGTTTGTTTCGAGACGCTGGAAGGCTGGAGGTCATGTGCTGTGTCTAATGTTCAGCAAAATCTTAGTGAAACGAGGGAAATAGGCATGGGGGTTGTGGGATTTAGATAGGATAAAGAGGGAGACGGCTGGAGGAACTGAATCACTTAAAAAGTCTTTCCACAAAAGAAATGTTGACCACTATAGTCAGAGGAGTGAAATGTTGAGAGAGATGGGGATGATTAACCAAAAACAGCAAGCCAGATTCAATCAGAAAAATGATCTTGCAGCCAGAAATTCTGTCTCCAACAATGGCATCAGGAGATGGTTACTTGCCCAGGGTGAAGTCAGTTTAAAAAAAGGTTGGAGGTCACCGATTTAAACTCTTGAGACTGTTTTTACTTTCAGCACGAAATCAGCTTATGGGCTCCATAAATGTAGAACCCACTGCGTTAAATAGTTATAACTATTTCTTTCTTTGTTTATTCTGAAACTCTTAGTTGGAGCCAGAGTTATATGGTTTGGATTGGGCTATGAACAACCAGAACAAGTCAGAAAGCACCCTTTCTTGTTCCAGTACAGAGAGCAGCTATGAAAGTACTGGCGAATTTATCATGTTAGCTACTTTCTGACAAAAGAAAATGGTAAGGCCATTCTTTTAAACAGTTAAAAAAAAAATAGGGAAGGCGGCTCTTGAACTTTGACATGCTAGTACATCGTTTAGGTAAAATCTAGGAAGTCTTGCTGGAAATCAAAATTTCATTATCTATTACAGCCTTAGCAGTCGTATCATAATAACTTACATAAATCAGAAAATCATTATTCTCAGTTCTCTAATCTTTGAAGAAATACTTTTTAAGCTAAAGGATGTTTTGATAATTAAAATTTACAGAGAATTTTTTAGGTGCTTAGTTGCAAATATACACAGATATGTCTTTTAACCTTAGTAGATAGAAACCGTGTCCTCCAAACCCAAGTGACTTGAGGTCAGGATGTGAAATAAGACCACATAATAACACCCCTGTTGCTTAAGGGGGTGGGAGAGAGTAAAGGAACAAAGTGTAACATTATGCTGCTATTGTGCAGAGAAAGCTAATGGAATGTTTCATTTCTAAATCTGTCATTTCGGTAATTGTTAGAGACAGTTTTCCATCAATAAGTTAGATCAACTGGTTAAATGCAATAAGAATTTACAAAAGCTTAATTTAATTTTGGATGATTTACGAGATTGTTAAAAGTGGTGATCAATGGGTGATGTTGAGTGTGTGACTTTTGGAAAATTAAGTATCGTATGCCTGCTTGTCCCATTACATTATCTTATTACATAAACTTCTCGATTACTTGTTATGATACTTGTAAATCACACACTTAAAGGAAAAATCTTAATCTGTAATACCATTTCTCCTTAAAGAACATGTAAAGGATTCATTATGAAATGAAAGTGGTGATAAAGATAATTTAGAAGGGATCAAGAAGTGAGCTATATTTCTGGTAAGGATGGAGTTGAAGATGTTAAAAGATATCATAGCAAAAAATAAGATTTATAAAGTTAAAATGTTTTGTTTAGATGTTTAAGGATTTATGTGTGTTTAAACTAATAAAATAATTCTCTTGAAGTAAATTTTCCAGAAATTTTGAAGGCCCTAGCTTCTTTTATACATTTGCTCTTTAAAAATGTGGAGAATTTGTTGCATAAAACTGCTATGAAGAAATGATAAGAATTTTGGTTGTTGCAAACAGGTTTGAAATCATTTTACAGAAGATAAAAAAAAATCACATAACTATCATCAAACTACAAAAAACTATGTAATTCATGGTTGGTCCACAAAGGATTAAAAGCCTTTACATAACTAATTAAAATGATAGAAAGCAGGATATTTGTGCAAGTAGGTATGCTCCACGCGTGGGGACTTGATAACAAGTAACATGGTAGCCTAACTCACTGGAACTGGGGAGATCCCTGGAGACCCAAACCTCAAGACTTGGGTCTTAATGTAGCTATCCTGGTTCCATGTCTGCACACAGAAACCACAGGTGGAAACTGTGAATCCTTGATTCCTGCTCCCAGAACCCCCAACTTGACTCTCCTACACCTGGTACTTCCCTCAAAGACTTAATTTGAAGGAATGTATGGGAAGTACATTAGGCAGAACAATGCAGAAGGGAAAATCACTTCGAAACTAAGGACGGGTTTCACTAATGGAAAAAAAAACAAAACCCAAGTACTGCAGCAAGATCTTTTCATCATTTAAGAACATCATACCCCCAAATTCTACTAGGTTATTATCTAACCATATTAGTACCAGATGGTAAATTATTGCATAGTCACAAGATCCTGGAGTGTGAACTGCAGATACTCAAGAGAACCTGACTTTTTTTTTCAATGAATGCATATTATATTTAAAATAGTAATGGTACATTAATCTAAACACTCTGGGATAGAGAAAGGAAAATCATACTTTCAGTAAAAATAACTGCCTAGGCTAAGAGAAATAACCCTTTAGAATTAATACTAGCAGCCAGTGACATTTATTGAGTACTCCCTGTGTGCGTTGGGAATTGGACAGTCTGGATCCCACACAACAAGTTTTTGTGGGATTTAGAAATAGCGTATGTTTATTTTCTATGTTTTTATCGCCAAATTGTTAGAAAATACAAAATAGGAGACTAGTTTTCGGGTTCCAAAAAAGCATTTGCTGGAAAGAAATATCAGTTGGCTAAACAAGTAGTACTTGCTTTATTACTGTGATTTTCCTGAGGTTCCATTTCTGGAACAATATTTTATTAATAACCCCTTGCAGTGAGGCCATTGTGTAATATTATCCAAAAAGGAAAAAAAAAATGCAATGAAAGAGGACTAAGGCTAATGAAATTCCATGAATACTTTTATAAAGGAAAACATAATCTGATTGAGATGAACAAACTTTACATGAGAATGAAGTGTGTAAAATTTTCACGTTTGAGAAAGTTTTGTTAGATACTCTTCTAGAGTTTGATATACTATGAAACAATAATTTTTTTTTAAGAGTGAAGATTTCCTTGAGTCCTAAAGATCTTTGAAGTTTGTACAAAACAGAAATTTGGTGGAAAAAAAGGGTGCGTTTTGAACTAATAGTAAATCTAGTCCTATTAAAGCCTGTTTTCTTTTATAATGAAACTTAATTTAGAAAATAAAATATTAGTTCGATGGTTCTGAAATCTAGCTTAAATGCTATGTATGGCAACTTCAATAGAAAATCTATTAATGACCATATTACCTTTTTTATTTAATGTTATGTGTGACCACTTGGGATAAAATTGAAGAAATCTATGTTGCCTAATTGGAGAAAACTTGAGATCAAGAGTAAGCTCCAGTTGTTTTTTGTTTTTTTTTTTAAAGATTTTATTTATTTATTCCCCCCCCTCCCCCAAAGCCTCAGTAGATAGTTGTATGTCATAGCTGCACATCCTTCTAGTTGCTGTATGTGGGACACGGCCTCAGCATGGCTGGAGAAGCAGTGCGTCGGTGCGCGCCCAGGATCCGAACCCTGGCCGCCAGCAGCGGAGCGCACGCACTTAACCGCTAAGCCATGGGACCGGCCCTAAGCTCCAGTTTTGCTATAAACTTTTGTGACTGCTGACCAATCTCTTAATCCCTCAGTTTCCCCATTACTAAAAAGAGCAACATTGTGATGAAGAGGTGTTCAACTACCAATCCCACTGAACAAGTGGATGGAGAAAGATAACACATGTGGCAGTGTTTTGGCATCTTTGAATGAAAAGATAGCAACTCAGTGTGATCCTATTGGCAGTAATATTTTCAGGGCCATTTGTTAATTAAAGAAGTTCCTAGGTGTACATGATTTTAAGAAGAAGCCATAGTCTGTCTTGGATGCCCTAGTTATTTACAGACATTTAATGGCATGTCCTTTGGTCAGGTGAATCATCACTATCTAGTCTGTGTTTCTTGTATATATGAATTTGGTGTGTGCACAGGTGTGATTATGTATCACTT